CTTCATTTCTGAAAGCAAATAGGTATAGAGAAATTGGGTTTGAAAATAGGATGTATGATTGAATATCATCTCTTCTCTTGGTGCTTCTTATACCACACGTGATACATAGCCCTGGAGAGTTTGTAATTATCTTTAATTGCACTTGATTGCAGTGAACTGTAATTCAAGGTTGCAGGGACAGATTTTCAGTCTGGAAGTTGATACTAGGATTTCCATAAGGGTTGCTAAGAGTACCAAAGCATTTTCTTCTGAAATATTTCTTGTGTGTTTCATTCTGGTTTCGGTAAACATTTCATAAGTAGATATGAAATTATGAAAACCATTATTATTGATGTTATTATTTTTGTTATTATTATCATTATGGATTTTTTTATTGTCATCATCATCATCATCATTATTATTATCCTCATGATGATGGTCATCATCATCTTCATTAGTAGTAGTTTCAGTAATAGTATAAATATTGTTATTATCATCATTAGTAATACTATGGACAATTAACCAAATGCCTCCGTCTCTCGGTTGTAGCAATGAGAGGCGATTAAAACTGATATAAATGTGGTTCGCGTATCCTTGCCTTTCTACTTGGTTTTATTCCGTAGCCAAATCCCTCGCCTTTTCCCGCAGGTGCATTCAGGGCTCCGTGTGTTGGAGAGGAATATACTATTGGTCGACTTCATTAACATTATCATTCTTCTTCATGTGTTTGTCATTGCTTTCTTATTTGAATCATTATTGATTATTGAAGGAAGGATACATTTATTTTATGCATCTATTTTTATTTTTTATTTATTTATTTATTTTTATTTTTTATTTTATTTATTTATTTCTATTTTTATTTATTTATTTATTTTTATTTTTTATTTATTTATTTATTTTTATTTCTTATTTATTTATTTATTTTTGTTTTTTTATTATTATCATGATTATTATTATCTTTGCTTCTTTTTTTTTTGTATTTCTAGTGCTATTGTTTTGTCTTTATTAAAATTATGATTAGAATTATTACATGACAATTATTGTTTCTTGTGATTTTGTTTTGTTCAATTACAGTTATCAAATATACTGTTATGTTATTATTTTATAGTTATTGTTACTGTTATTATTATTATTTTGTTATCGTTTTTTATTATTATTATCATCATTATTATCATTATTATGATGATGATTATTATTATCATTTTTATTATTATTATTATTATAAATATTATTATCATCATAATTATTGTGATTAGTGTGATTATGATGATTTCTATAGTTATCATTATTACTTTTTTGTATTATTCTTATTATTGTTGTTGTTGTTATCATTATTATTATTGCTATCATTATCATCAATAATGATATTTCTATTACTATTATCATTGGATGTTACTAATAGCATTGTTCCTTTTCAGTTCATTTAATTTTCTACATTTACCTAGTGAGAGAGAGAGAGAGAGAGAGAGAGAGAAAGGGAGAGAGAGAGAAAGAGGAAGAGAGAGAGAGAGAGGAAGAGAGAGAGAGAGAGAGAGAGAGAGAGAGAGAGAGAGAGAGAGAGAGAGAGAGAGAGAGAGAGAGAGAGAGAGAGAGAGAGAGGAAGAGAGGAAGAGAACAGAGAGAGAGAGAGAGAGAGAGAGAGAGAGAGAGAGAGAGAGAGAGAGAGAGAGAGAGAGAGAGAGAGAGAGAGAGAGGAAGAGGAAGAGAACGGAGAGAGATAGGTAGAGAGAGAGAGAGAGAGAGAGAGAGAGAGAGAGAGAGAGAGAGAGAGAGAGAGAGAGAGAGAGAGAGAGAGAGAGAGAGAGAGAGAGAGAGAAGGAGAGAGAGAGAGAGAGAGAGAGAGAGAGAGAGAGAGAGAGAGAGAGAGAGAGAGAGAGAGAGAGAGAGAGAGAGAGAGAGAGAGAGAGAGAGACTCCAAACTTCATGTTCTGGATACAGCCTTTATAATGCTAGAGTACCAGCCAAATATAGATTACTGTATTGATCTACAGTGATGGTGCAACAGTACTTTGGTTGGAGTACTTGCACACACTGATCCTATACAGGAGAAACATGCACACTATACTATTGGTTTTCCCTAGACTGTAATATTGAAAGAGTTGTATAGAAAAAAAAACAGTGGGGTTATAGGCAAGTTTTTTTTTTTTTTAACTGTACTTTACTTTACTTTACTTCACTTTACTCTGTGTGTGTTTTGTGCGTGCGTGCATGTGTGTGTACGTGTGTGTGCGTGCGTGTGCTTGTGTGTGTGTGTGTGCATGTGCGTGCGTGTATGTGCGTGTACGTGTACGTTTGTGTGCGCGTGCGTGTGCATGCGTGTGTGGGTGTGGGTGTGTGTGTGTGTGTGCATGTGTGTGCGTGTGTGTGTGTGTGTGTGTGTGCGTGTGTGTGTGCGTGTGTGTGTGCGTGTGTGTGTGTGTGTGTGTGTGTGTTTGTGTGTGTGCGGATCTGTTTTATTTGTATCACTGTGAGTGTTTTGGTGTGGTTATGAATATGCTTGGGTCTCTGTGTTTGTTAGTAC